TAACGTGTGCTTCTGTTACTTGTTATCATGGTAAAGAAAGTAGTGCTGCCAGGCTAAATTGTCATTTGGCATCAGGTTTTTTGGGAGGAAAAAAAAATATTTCTGGTTTATCCTGGGGTAGCCCCCTCTTGGTTTGGATGATGTGCTTTGGGAGATGTGCTGTTCTACTTTTCTGACTTTTTCGCATCTTCTTTGAAGAGATTAGGTGGTTGTGGAGGGTTTTGTTAATTTTGGATTGGTTTTTTGGTGGTTTTTTTTTTTTGAAGCAGAAAAAAAGCCATTTTTCTTCCATTGCACTGTGAGAGAACTTCTATTCGATCTTGCTATTTTTAAAAATAATGATATAAAATTGTGGTTGTGCTGCTGAAAACAGATGGTATGTGCCTATGTTCACACATTTCTTGACCAAGAATAATTTCCTGTACACTGACATTTTGCAGACTGCCTTCTGGATTTTCAGATGTTCAAAAAGTAATCTCAATTTCAGATTTTTTTTCAATTTAGAAATAAACATATAGATATACTCTATCCACTTCTAACAATTTTAGACTAATGGTCAAGCAGTGTTCCTTTTGGTGTGTATGTCATGAAGGTTAATGAATTTTCCATTGGAATAACTTTGTGGATGAATCAAGAGTTAACTTCAATTTATCATTCATTCCAGACTACTGTGTACTTCAGAGGTCTTTCAAAGATGAGGCTTTGGTTTGCTGATGTGCAGATACATACAGTAGGGTTAAGTATAACTACTTTATCTGTTTGTTTTCTGTTAACAGGAATGTCGTAAGAATGAAATGCTGCTGTCCAAGTTGAAAGCTAGTTCTTCCTGAAGATCTCCAGCTGGTGAAGTTGATCTATATGATTGTTCAGTCTATACATCTTTTTTGTGAAGTGAAAGTTACAACTGCAATTGTAGACCTATGTATGTGTATATACACATACACACAGCTGTAAAGTCTGGGATTTTTTCCAGTATGTACTCTTCTACATTCCTTCATGAAATGGCTGTATTATTCATTATTGCCTCCACTACACAGTAAAGAGTTAATGCAGTACAGCAAAACAGAAATACTGTCTAATTTTATTTATTTTTGTTGGTGGTTTATTTTTTTCTTCATGGTAAGAACAACAAAGATGGTTTTTATTTGGGTTTTAGCACTGAAGAACTACAAAATTCTGCAGTAAGTAGATATAGACTGTGTAGTATGTCCAGTACCGTAAGATGAGCACTGCAAGGTGCAGTAGCTTGTTAATTTTGGCCAAACATAAACACAGAAAATAGTTCCCAAAACTTTCCACCAGGTAATAACTTCACATCATTTTAATTTAAACTCTAGATAAGATCCCAGAGGAATAAAAATATAATTTCTAATGGTTAAGACAAAAGAAAATGGAAACTTACCTTGGATAATTCTCATGTAAAAATATAGATCTATATTTTTATAAAGTCTAGCAGTTGTATAATTTTGTTTGAAATTTCCTTTTTATATATAGAGTATGCACTTGTTAAATTAATAACTCCAGGAAAAACACCTTAATCACTAGAGCCATTGTGTTATCCCTGGCTGGGATGAAAATCTAAGTCTGTGTCAGCTGTAACATAGGAAGATAAAGATTCAGACTTTCTACTCAAATGACTGATGCTCACCTTTCGAAGACAACAGCCTATCTACCCTACTGAAGATTTGTCCTTGAAAGTTTAGAAACTTTGTGGAACACTTTCTGAAACATTTTTATATCTGTATGTATGGTATTTTATAATTCAAAAAGTTGCTTTTTGTACTTAACATCAGGATTTTGGACTGATTTAATGTACATCACATCTCTTCTTTAGGAAAAGGAAAATCACATTATTTTTCCCCAGTAACACTGATGACTGCTGATAGATTACTTTCTATGGCAGCAAATACAAAATAAAAAGATGTTTAGCATTCAGTGAACTTTTGCTTTTGTATTTTTAGGATGGCACTTCGAGATTCCACGCTTAAGGTTGATGTAGAAGCCTTAATATGATTTTGAATTACAAGTGCATTAAAAGATGAATTCTGTAAATGTAGTGTCTTGATATTCACTAGTAGAAATGCTTTTATGTGTCACATAGCACTTGGCAACGTGTTACCTCTTGCTGCTTTTGTTAAGCTTGATGTTTAGATATCTGGAACAAACTATCAAATGTGCTGTATGCAGAGCTGATCCATAGAAGGGTAAGATTTGTTTTGCATAAACATTTGCTTATGGTACAGAATTCTCAAAGGAGATGGTACGAGTTCATCACACTGCACCACCTCGCTCCTTTTGAGAACAGTGGAAGGTTGTATGTGACCTTATGCAGACTCTGTAGCATTAAATGGAAAAGCATATGCATTCATTAAGCTTTTGGTAAGGAGATTATGGGCATTCTGATTCTATCTGGGTAAAATGCAGTAAGCTACCTCAACTCTGGTAGGTGGGATTCAATGTGATATGGCTTCTCATGATTTTGAGATAACCTGAAATTTCCTGTTCCTTCAGTACAAATAGGAAGAATCTTTATACTGAGCCAGATTATGTCTTACTCCCCTACAATGGCTATGACTGAGTATAATGCAGGGTGCTTCTCTTGTACTTACTTAAAAATCTAGGCAAAACTGAATTTAGAGTATCTAAAGAAGGAAATCAGAATTGCGTGCTAGTTGTAGACATTCTCTAGTTGGCTTTGATAGCAGTAGACAAATAGTGTCTGCAAACTCTATAAAAATTGTGATTATCTTTCTAATTTACACACTGAAATGTTTTTTCTTCTGATACTTGGGGAAAAGTCAATTATTAGCATGAGAAAGGGCACTTTTGCTAGTGGCAAACTTTTTGTCTCCTTGATGACTGTTCACTGTTCTTCATCACAGAATCACAGAATCGTAGGGGTTGGAAAGGACCTCCAGAGATCATCGAGTCCAACCCCCCTGCCAAAGCAGGTTCCCTACAGCAGGTCGCACAGGTAGGCATCCAGGCAGGTCTTGAACATCTCCAGAGAAGGAGACTCCACCACCTCCCTGGGCAGCCTGTTCCAGTGCTCCGTCACCTCACTGTAAAGAAGTTCTTGTGCACATTTGTGCAGAACTTCCTATGCTGCAGTTTCTGGCCGTTTCCCCTCGTCCTGTCTCCATACACTGCTGAAAACAGTCTGGCCTCACCACTCTGCCCCCCACACCATAGATATTTATAGACCTGGATCAGGTCCCCTCTCAGTCTTCTCTTCTCAAGGCTGAACAGACCCAGTTCACTCAGCCTTTCTTCATAGGGGAGATGATTCAGGCCCGTCACCATTTTTGTAGCCCTCCGCTGGACAAAAACCAGTTTTACAGTGGAGGAACAAACACAGATCGTGCTCTGAATACTCATGAGAAGATGCTTTTTGGGAATGGTATCCATGGTGCTTTAACACTATAAATATGACAATCCTGCTGACTAGAGCAAAGTAAATTAATTCTGGCTTCCATTTAAATGCTGATAGCTATTTTTAAAAACGGAGGGCCGTATCATAATATAATTTCTAAGTGGAGTTTTCAAAGACCAGAGAACAGTCAGAGAACAAGTGATTATTGTTTTACTTTAAGCAGTGAGCTTCCATGTATGCCATAAGTTTATATGGTCTTTTTATAGAATTGTGGTGTTACTTCTTGATATGTAGAATTTGAAGTACTTTTATTGGTCACAGATAAGTGGAGCTGTGTGGCTGAGGCAATGAATTCTGAAGTGCGTGTATGGAAAGGACTGCTGAGTTTGCTGGTTACTTTCTTTTACTTAGCTGCATGTAACTGCAGAAGTTTTTTGCACAAACTAAAAAGCATTTGTACTCTGAAGTGTTCATTATGTTTTGATTTGCATCAGAGCTAAGGTGCTCTCACAGCTAACCAGTATGCAAGCATTTGATACCCTCAGTACTCATTAATTTCAGAAGAAAGCAGGAGGAGATTATTATCATGTGTTCTCTGTCCCCTGTAAAATGTACAAATAATAGCAACAACAGTGGGTGAAGGAGAGAGATGAGAACATCACTTTAAATTATAACAGGGACTGCACAGACTTGCAGACGGCACTGTTGATATGGAAATCTCTGTAGGCAAGTTAAAACGTGACCAGTTTTCTTTTTTTTTTTTTTTTTTTTTTTTTTTTTTTTTTTTTTTTAAAAGATTTCTTCCTCTTTAAGCCTATTTCCTGAAAAATCAGCTCATTGGAACACAATCTTAGGTCCCACTTTGTATAACTGTTGGTATTTATGCACACCAGAGAGCTGGGGAATTGCGATTTGCTCCTTAGAGCCAGCTTTGCCTAAATCAGGCATGTAAGTAGGATGCACTTATGAGGCAATACACAAATCTTATTTGTTTGGGTGGTGGCTGACATACGCTTAGGATACTCTTTTATCTGAAGTTTCTGAACACTGTCTTGTTTATTCAGCACCCACCAGAACTGGGTGGTGGGCTGTCTCCCTGATTTTCCAGGCAGGAACTGCATCCCATCCAGCTCTCTGGGCAATTTTGGTGCTCATAGGCATTCAGCAGCATGTTGCCGTAGGCTGCCAGTACCTGGTTTCTTGATGACTGTGGTGCTGACTAGCTTAGAAGCTGCTGGTGCCAGGGGAATTTGTCAGCCTGTATTTTCATGGCTAAATCCTTAATTTCTGCCTGCATCACTCTTCATGCAGAAAGGGCTTGGCAATTCTCAAGTAAAACAGGTTTTTACAAAGACAGATTGAGGCTTCTTTCGTAGGAGCTGGACACAGAACATAGAAAGCTATTGATATTGTATGTTCACATCCCTTTTTTCACAATCTGGATTTTTGGATTTTTGCACAATCTGTGGATTCCAAGAGCACAAAGCCCCCTAGGCCTTAATTCATATGGCACTGCAGGGTTCTTGGAACCTTGCTGTAGGGGGCAGTAGTGCCTTTCTGCTGAGCAGTCGTCTCCACCAAGTTCTAGGTAGAGTAAAATCAGCATCAAGAAATAAAATGAGGCCAATGTGTTTAGGCAGAAATAATTGGTTTATTCCAAACTGCCAACTCCTCTTTAGAAAAATAAACAGCCATAAGTACTGCTAAATGATCTTTCTTTAGCTTACCTTCTTAAAAATCATTTATTATTACTTTTTATTCAAGATCCTTCATTGTTCATCTTCATGATGAACACAGCCCCTCAGCCAGACTAGGGTGTGTTTTGAGGCTGCTTAGTCACCCTCCTTAATTTCAGAGAAAGTCAACAGTTGAATGCAGCATGTTCATTCTCTCTGTTGTCTACTTTCCAAAAAAGGAAACATCACAAACATTTTGGTGTTGCTCAATCCACAGTTCCCCTTGGTGCCCTTGCTGATGATGAGCAAGCTGCAGGATGGCACCTGTAGTTGGCTGGATGAGATGGCTTAGACTTGACATTCTTGGTATGAGATGAATACAGTGCTTTGCTTGCAGACTTCAACACCCAGCAGTTCAATGAAGGGAGATATTCACTGCTTCTTTCTTTGTCACACTCTGGAGTAGCATATACATATTTCCAAGGGGGAACTGCAACCTGACTGTAGGTCTATATGCAATCATCTGCAGTCTTCTTTGCTACAAAATCCCCTTAACGAGATCTTGTGCTTAAAGTCTGTGTGTATCGCTGGCACATTTCCCTCCAGAAAACTCTGTATTGTGCAATAAAGGAATCATTTCCTTCTCTGTCCCCCTTTATCTCTGCTTCAGGAAAAGGTTCTTGAAGGCATGGTTGTAATATTTGTTAAATGCCATGTAAATGAAAGGATTGAAGGAAGAATTTCAGTAGCCAAGCCAAAGAAAAATGCTTTTCCAGATGCGTGGCATGTTGCAGGAATGGAGGGGACTTAGTAATTCCGTGGTGAAGGAGATCCAGCACAATACAAGAACTCTGACTGAGATGCCAACTATCAAAGCAGCTTTTTTCTGTCTGTTCCTTCTATGTTTCTCCATCTATCTGGAAAGTTGATAGCTGCATGATGAGCTGTAAACACCATCTGTGGTTCATGCTAAGTTTCTTTCACCTCGAAACAAAAGAAAACATGGATTCTTAGCAAGGCAATTTGTTTGAGGGAGGTATTTTTAAATGACAACGTGACATCTGTGTTCCTACCACAAAAGGCCCCAATTTGATTCTTTCCACGCTAAAAGGAAGAAAGTGTTCCAGACTGCCAAATTTACCAGACTTCTCATTATGGTGGAAAAGCTGCTGAGTGTGACTGACAAACTACAATGAATAAGGAGTCGTGTGATGCCAGGTGTATTGCATTTCACTCGCACCAGCTCAGTACTGCCACAAGTACTTTGCTGCCAGAAAAGCACCATTTCAATCAGCCTCCTATTCATACTCTGGCTTCCACAGGAGGTATACAAGAGGGGAAAACGTCAGCTACTCCTGCTGCCAGCAGTACTCCTTGCCTGTTACTAAATTAGCAATGTATTTTACATGCATGGCCCTTTGTGTGAGCTTCAGAATACATGGAGGGTTTCTGTTTAATATGAGGAGAGCAACTCAGCAAAGGAAGCACTGGCAAGGGCTAGACCATCACTCTTCAAGATAGATAGCCCTGTCTTCACCCTCAAACGCGAAACGTGACTGCAGAATGCATGAGCAGCAGATTACGAGTGCAGGCAAATAATAGAGGAAAATGAAAACCACATCTGTCCTGACAATTAAAATGGGACACCCCTCATGTAGCAACGATCACATCATTTGTCTTGGGAAAGACTTGCTGCACATCTTTCATCACTCTCTGCAAAAAAGGATGAGTGTATGACACGAGGACAGCTTCGTGACAAGCAACCCTGAAAGATTATGTGTTAGCCATGAGGAACAGCTACATCAGTGTGCTCCTGGGAAGAGCCAAAGGACTTTGTCACTAGCACAGGGCAGTTTGGTACTACATTTAACCTTAACCTTTTTTAACTTCTTCAGAGGAGAATCTTCTCTTGCTCCCATACTGTCCTAACAAGTTCCATAGGCTGGAGAGGCTTCACAGGGCAAATTGCAAGACAGCACTGCACCTATAGCAGCTGTGGGACCTTGCCCAGTTTCCATCAAAGGAGTGGGAAGGACTCCCATGAAACTGATAGGCTTTGGTCAGGCTCTACTTACACACCTAGTGTACAAACTACTTTGAAAGACGGAAAACAACAACAGCACATCAACGAAACTTGACTGCTAATTCCGTACACTGAAATGTAATACTGACCCTGTAATTGCTACATATAAGCAATCCTGACATTTAGATTCTGCCAAGCCTTGTATTTGTGATTTGTGATTGATCAGAAGGGCATTATCCAGCAGTTTCTGCTATCCTTCAACTCTCTCATTTATTTTAATTGAACTTTTTACAGATGGAATTATTACCTACTGTCAACAAGATATGACAGGGTGCAGCTGTCAGTAACAGCTTTTTTTACATGAGGTTCATTAATGTCAGTACTGACTGTATAATTCACTTCTTAAGGAGTTTTATGACAAGTAAACAAATGATTACAAAGCGTCAGACTGATTTAGGCTCCCAACCCTGCAATTTTTGTTGTTGTTGTTTGTTGTTTGAAAGTAAAAAAACCCAAACCTCTCATTTTCAAAGAGGACTTCATTGCACCATGTCACTATATGTACTATATTAAAATTAAGCTAGTGCATATCCATCTCCCCCCCGTTTTTTTTAAGAAGACTGTCATAAGTGTTTTTCCTTAAGTAAAATCATAACGAAGAAAAACTCTAAATATGTATGAGTACAGAAAGACATTCTGTGTACACCAACTTTCAGTTCAGAGAGATGCCCTTTCCCTGTGTCCATACACCCATGCCTGGCTCTGTCAGCTGAAAAGCTGTGTTTGAAAACATCCTGCTATCATCAGAATCATTCCACTTGGTTTTTCAGGCATTTCTACTGGCTTATGAGTACTATGACCTCAAATCTTTTTAAAATTAACTTGCTAGAATTAACTCTCCACGCTGCTGGCATGTCTCAGGCCATCAATGGCAGCCCTGGCATACAGCTCCAACCCAGCAGTACCTGGCAGCTGCCTCCTGAGCACAGCATGGACACCTCTCCCAGCAGGGATCGCTGCTACTGCTGTCACCTTCAGGCTGAGAAGTGCTGCCCTTGGCACCGACAGTTCAAAGCCCAACAGTGCTCCTCAGAACAACCACTGCTGGGCACTCGAGGTGAGAACTGCCATAAACAGGCTGCACTGCACTCCTGGAGTAACAGAGTGACAAATAGTGTTGCAGGGTGAGGATGACAGGATCAGGGAAGGATGTGGTAAAAGAAATCAGAAATAGGAGAGAGACTGTAGAAGAAAAAAGTGGAAAATTAAAAGCTGTTGGGCAAAGCAAGAAAAGTGAAGTAGAATTTGTCCCATCAGAGAGAGGGACAGTGCTGATGCTGACAGCCTAATTCCTCCCAGAGGAGGAGAGGCAAAGCCCAACACCTCACTAGGTTTGCACGTATCATGGCAATGTTATCTTTCTGAATGTGTTCGTAAGAAAATGAATTTGTTTCGCCAAAGGAACAGTAATGTGATGCATCTGAAGATTCTTCTCCAGCATTCCTTGTTGTGGTAGGCACAGTGGATCCTGCTCCTAAAGGGGATAAGTCTCAGTCTCTTAGAAATGAAACTGAGAAGCCTATCCTTTATGTCAGCTCCCTTGATCCACAGGGTTCATATATGCACTGATGGGAATGGGGCAGGTTGGCAGCACATACCAACTGCAGATTCAAAAAGCACTGCTATAGAAGAACTTGCTGTCAAACACTACGAATGTAAGGTGAAAAATCTCGAGCATTTGCTGAGATTGCAGTAATAACTATACTGGCAATGCCCTCAAATCTGGGTCTTCAGCTCCCACAGACAGGAGCTCTTCTGTCAGTACAGCTCAAAGCAGCTTCTGACACTGGAGCAGCACAAAGTGCTGCCTGCCAAGCTGCGTCCATTTGTGACATACCAACGAAGTGCTTCTGTAGGGCTAAGACTTAAGCAACAATGCCTCAGCTCAATTAACTCCGTCATTTTAGATTACCAGTATTCTTGTACATAATTCATTGCTTTGGTACTGTGCAGTGAGCAGGATGTTCTCACTGCTCACAGTAAACCAGCCCGAGCACACAACGTAAGGGGATAAGTTTTAAACAGGTCCCAGTCTTGCAGTGCGTGCACCTATCATTTATTCTCCCTGCTCACTTAGAAAAATGAAAAGAGAATAAAACTCTTCTCCAGGAGTGGCACTTTCTGACTGGCTAATTACAGTCCCTTAATTGAGCTAAATCCTCAGCGCCAGGGCACGTCTCAGACCACGCTGAAATCACCGATGCAGGAGGCAGGCGCCTGGGGGACGCGGTGCACATCCCCAACCCTCCCCTTTACCTGGGCTGCGCGTTCCTCCTGTGGTCCCCATGCCCGACTTTTCCGCCTCGTAGGTCCTCCAGTAGAAGAGGACCGCACAGGTGGGACAGGTAGAACGCCGCGCCGGTGGAGACGAAGGTGAAGGAAGCCTGCTGGCTGCCCGGGCAGCGCTCCTGCTTACAGCTGCAGCTCTGCCCGCAGCCAAAGAGCGGGGCCGAGTGAGCGCCGTCTTCACGCTGGAGGAGCTGCGGCGGGAGAGCGGCGCGTGTTCCGTGCCACGCGCTCCACGTCGGCCCCTCCCCGCAGCCCTACTCGGGTTGCAGCCGCGCGGCGCGCGGCGAGCGGCTCGCGGAAGGCACGGGGAGGCGGCTCCGCCGTTCCCGCTCCGCTGCACGGCAGCCTCTGGGGAGGGCGATCCGACCTCGGCTCCTCGCAGCCCGGCCCCTCCTGCAGCATTGGGGTGCTTTTGGTACCGCAGGTAGCGTGTCCCAAATCCTGAAGTCCTTTATAACCCCGAACGCGAGCTTCCGTCCCGTTTCCCCACATTTCCAGTGCGGTTTAGATGGAAGTTACTCGCAAAACACAACGCAGGCTCATTTTCCGTCACTGGGTTCTCGCTGTTGCAGAGGGCTCGCTAACGCTGTTTGCAGTGGAAACAGGATGAGAGAAGGTCAGTGAAGCACATTTCCTTGCAAATATGAGACTCTCACGCTTGCATTATCTCCCTGCTCCCCAGATGAGCAATACACGAGCAGCACCTGAAACAACCAGGCGACGGTGAGCGTTATCAGCCTGTGGCTGCTTCACGGCTGCCTTCCCACGCTTTTTGCATCATTCCTTTCTAATTTGTGTCTGCTTTTGTTCATTAGGATTGTAATTAATGTTGCTTCTTAAAGGCCAGCTAAAGAATCTTCAATCAATGCTTTGTTTGTTGTAAAAGTCACTCAGAAATGAAGGAAACAAGCAGATAAAAAGGCCCTTTAACTTCTGGGGTGTTCCCCCCTCCCCCACTTATTACATGCAGTTCATGTGCCACACATGGGCAGTCACTTTCCACACACATGAACTGCACTGGAATCTTCCACTTTTTCTTCCTCCTTGGCTGGAATAACCTAATTCTATAATACAAAGCTCTGAATAAAGCCTCTGAAGGATTTTTATTTTTTCTTTTTTCTTGATAATTACCCTCACTGCTGACTTGTCTTTTGAGTACAAAGGCTGACTGCTCCTATAAGACTGTGCTATGGTAACACAATGCAGCATCTCAGGAACAGGGTATGCTATGAGAAAGTTGAGAGGGAACTTTAAAAAAACCTGTAGACTTACAGGTATGTATGTATTCCAAGTAACAGAAAACAAATGCTACATGAAAGAGCAAGAATAAAAATCACACCACAAAAGAGAAAAAAATACTTTTTTTTTTTTCTTCTAGTGAAACTACAGGACCACGCAGTTTAAATTTCTGTATAGTTACAGTATTGCAATAACTATGGTGTCTAAGTCCAACGAAAGCAACAAATATCCTTTGCTTCATTCTCTAACTCTTCCTAATGGCTTCAGAAGCTTCTCTGAGCCAGGATATACATATCCTTAGAAGATAACTTGTGTCATCAACTACTTCGCTGTGCTTAAAGTGAGCAAATATGTAGCTAAGGACTTGGAGACAAGTGATAGAAGTGACAGTAAATACAAAATATCATCGTTCTTACTGGGTTCTTTTGTGGGAAGCCTGGGGAGTAAGAAATGCAAACAATGGGAAACAGTAATCTGCTCAGTATAGAAATATGTTTTCTTTTTTTTTCCTCACTTTTCTCTGTTGCCCTGAAAATGGCTAAGAGAGAGAAGGACTTATGGCAAAGTGGAATGGAGCAATTTAACAAGTTACAGAATATATTCCCCAGTCCTTATCACTTTACCAAATGCTGCCTTCAAAACTCACACTTTAGGCTGCTGACATTGAAATTTATCTCCTCTGTTACAATCTTATCATAAAGTTTCTCTTTTCTATTAGCCTGAGTGTTACAAACATAACTTAATCCTCCCTGTACCCTCTCGTTTCCTGTCCAAACTCCCTTTTGTATGGTTGTAACATTAAGAAAGATCAACATGATGGAATGGTGATATAGGAGGTGTAATGATGAAGGGACTAGTGCAATGCAAAGGTGTTACAAAAGGAAAAGCTCTCACTTATCTCTGAAGATCCAGGCTCACTAGGGAAACTCCCCAAGGGAGGGATTTCCAACCAAAAATCCCTCCCCTGTGGCAGTCATACCTTAAGTGAGGTCTGAGAGGTGCAGCCAGGCTCCCCCCCTTCCAGCCTCACACATCAATTGCCTTCACCTGTGCTCCCAGCGCTGACCAGGTCCTTTCCCCAGGTGCTCAATCAGTGGTTCGGGCTGTGACTCAGCAGTTCCCATACAATGGTCATACAGACCAACGTCATTATTGCTCTGTTTTCTAGAACTTTCAAGACCCTGCTGCCTAGGAACAGCCTTGGAGGATGATGATTATTTATCTATATAACAGAATTTCAATGAATTTACTTTTCTCTGGTTACAGCAGCCACATTAAAACACACCAGATCTACAGAAAACTTCAGCTGGTGATCTATGATTTAATAAGTCTAATTCTCTTGACTTTTACTTCTTGTTTCTCCTACCACTGATAATCCTGTGTAGGAGCAAGAGCTTTTTACTATTATGTTGTCTATATAGAAGGTATGGACTTTCCACCAGTGAATTTTGATGTTAAATGCTATGTTCAGAGCTGTGTTTTTTGTTTTTTGTTTTTTGTTTTTTTAAAGGAATTCATAGCCATTGATTTCTAATTGAATGGTTTGCTCATAAACTCATTGTTCAAATGCCTTTTTGATTCTCGTTTTAGCAAACTCCTAATCTGCGCAGTAATTTTTTGCCCATTTGTCCTTAGTTTTAAATTGTGCCTCTTAACATAGTAAAATGGCCTCCAAATGGGCACTGTAAGAAATCCTGGGCTCTGTCCTCATTGAATTGAAAGCCGAAAAGGCAGCTGCCTCTGGAACAGCATGCACAGTGGGACCAGCTAAGATAGTCAGTCTGTTTGCCCTTTCCTCACAGAAAAGCTTTTCTTAATTAAGGGTAAATATGTACAATGAACCCTTATTCGGTGTTAAAAGGAAGATTCAATAACTCACACAAATTCATATGGTCTATTTGAGTGACTTACAGTTTCAGTTATGCATTGTAACATTAAACAGTATTACTGAGACTCCATGCTCAGAGCTAACTGCAACCAATTAGGGGAGCTCAGAAAACCACACAAGTATCCTCAGAAGTCAATCAGAACAAAGATGAGCCCTTGGAAAAAATTATGCAAGATTTTTAGGGTCTGTTTTTCTTCTTTTTATTATTTCAGTTATTAGTTTGAGAAAACACCACCTAATGACAAATAATAGGCTCTTTTCTAGTTATTAGGATTTTAGATTTCTGTAAGATCCCCTACAAGTTGAACTAAGTAACTATCTCATAAATAGGACAACAATGGAACTAAAACCCAAATACAAGCTGTAGTTTGTCAGTACCCTGCATTTTTTCCACCGTGGCGAGAAGTTGGAGCCTTCTACTCACATGCTATTGTATAATTACTCATTGTTCTTTTTACCCATCTTGTGAGAGCTTCAATTACTAGCTTGGAAACAAATGATTAGGGTATCCAAAGCATTGGTTGCCCTCATACATGAAACAAAAAGGTTAATTACTGCCAACATGTGAACATACTTCTTATTAACAGCAGGTATAAGTAGATAATAACCAGTTCTTAAGTGTTTATTGATACTGAAGAACATGTCCTCTGTGTGTGATATTCACCCCAAAACACCCGATTGGCACCACTTTCTGCTTGGTCTTGTGCCTGTCTATAACTCAGTAGCATTATGGAATAAGAAACCTGTAACATGACAAGATTTTTCATGATTATGAGCAGTAGCTTGGCAAGGGAATTCTCCTTTATGTGCCACTTTCAAAAAGATCTTACAGTTCAAGCAGGACAGTTTTGATCACCCTTTTAAAGTGGTTTAAAGAGTCCAATTTCTTTGTCAAGGTTCTCAGAGAAAGAAGGCAATTTCTCAAGGCGCGCAATGTTAGTCCCCAGCCTATCAGTCACTGTTACGAGGCAAGCCTTGAAAGTCTGATGGCTGAGGTCTATTAACTGCTCACAAGATTGATAACAGGCTAAGTTGCAAAGGAAACGTTAGATATCCAATCAGTTTGACAATCTCTTAAACTTCTAGCAATACTGCAGCAGAACAGACGTTGCTTGATGCACACAGATTTTTAGTCAGAAACTATTTTTCATTTGTAATTCCATAAACGAAGAGAAAGGTAACTGCATGTGCACAAGCCAGGAAGCTGAAGCCCTTCTCTTCCATTACTTAGTCTCAACTCAGAACATTTGCTTTGTCTCAATTGGGAAATTACAGTGAGAAATAACAGCCTGTGTAGTTGTTTCATTCTGTGCAGTCATCATGCAACTATAATGCATTAAGAAACAAAACTTAATTAGGGTAAGCTGGAGCAATACCACCCAGTATTTTAATCTCCCAGTTGAAATTATTTGAAAATTTCTTTGTATTACAACACATAAGAAAACGCAGGAAAAATACCTGTAAGAAGTTGGGCAATCTCAAGCCAAACCCATTCTTTCAGTTTTAAATGTCAGACTTCAGAAAGTGACAGTGTCTCAACACATTCAGATAAAAAGGTGTGTGGAGGTAGAGCTTGTCAGGAAAGCAGCCTTCTGCTCCCAAAAGGGCTAGGAACAACAGAAAAGGCAGATCTCTGTGAAGTAGTTCTTTGCCTATTTCAAGAGCGACAGGAATTCTGATGTACTCCAAGCCCAGTCAGTTCTGACTCTGCCCATCATCTCAGCTTTTTTTCTAAATAATACTCCATATTTCATTCACACTACTTGCATGAGCCACGAGCACTTCACTCTTTACAGTGGTTTTCTGCAACTTTGCTTACATCTCTTCCCAAAGTAATTAATGTTGCAGTTAATTCTAATGAATCCCTCAGAGTTAATGTCATTGTATGTTAATTCCCACACTGCAACTGCAAAGAGCATAGGTGTAGACAGAACTCTTCAACTGTATGATGCTGTACATGTCAGTGTAGTATCTCTCTTAAAACACAGTATCTGTCTTAAAATGTGTTATCAAAAAACAGACAGAGCTTTCTTGACATCTATTAGTTCTAAATGTTGTTAGCAAAATCAGAATCAAAGACTAGATCTCAATGAGCCAGGCATCACATGCCCAACTATAATTGCTTACCCTACAGTAGAGATTCTTCTATTTTCATGCAAACTGTAGTTACAAAAATTTCAGTATTTGGAAGTTCTTAGTATCCAATCAATATTAACAGCCCCTGAAAATTTCGCAAGTAGGGCTAAAAGCTTTTTCAGGTAAAAGGGGAAAAAAAAGCAACACCGAGGTCTGAGTGCTGTAGTAAGGACTATTGACATAATGATCACACTGCTCTTCCCCTTTCCAATGACCTGGTTTCTCTACGGGTAAGAGAGACTGCCACTTGCTTCTACTGCACTTCAGTGCACACATTAACTTAAATGTGATATACTACTTCAAAAGATCTCAGGGTTCACTTCATAATGGAATAACTATAATTTTTTTTTTTTTATTATTCAAAGTAGTCTTGTCTTGCCTTTTAGATGATACAGAATAAAGTAATAAAGCTTGTTTTACTGCAATCATGTGGGGCCCTGATTCTTAAACGTCCAGACTGAGACAACGTAGTCCTTCCTTGCATCAGTGGATGTACATTTTTTAAATGCTATTCCCACCACTACTGAAGCCTCATAAATTATTTACTTCTACAAGGGTAGAGACCTGAAAATAACCTAAACAAACAAACAAGCTCCCAACACCATATCTGGGCAAAGTCCTTCAAATCATGCAATGTGCTTTTCTTAATTTCTTCATCAATTCATAAGATAATACACTAGACATTAACAGATTTAAACAGACCACAGAGGAAAAGCAAGTAATTCACTGGAATGTTACTGTTTTATCATAATGTTAAAGAAGTAATTCTAACCATGAACTCAGATGTAGTATAAGAGGTTGGTTTTTTTTTTTTTTTTTTTTAAATCTTAGACACTGTATTTGCTACCTAGATGCCATGAATTAAAATAACTATGAGCACAGTCATAATTAGACTCAACAACAACATACAATGATTCTTTTGAAAAAGAACACATTCTTCACCATGTACGATGGACAATGAACTCTGTACCACTAAGACATCCTGCAATGATCCTTGTGAACAAAAATCCCTTTATTTTTTTTACACTGTAAAAATATTTTCAGACACCTATGAACTGCACTTCTTAGCATACTCAAGTCTCTTGCTATACAAGTCATCTCACATTGGAATCTGTCCCTGCATTCTGCCTATTCTGACAAGTTCCAGTGGTGCCTGTAAAAAGGATAAAGCAAATTTGTCTATAAAAAGTTGAAAATATTCTTTCTTTAATAAATCACTGAACTGAAATAATTACACTCATCCACCTTCTTCTTTACAAGAAGTTTGGCTATCTCTCTGTATTCTCTTTTCCAAAGAGTCATCCTAAAATGAAACATTAAGAAGCTCTGAAACAAATACTTTTCTTTCCCTGAAAGGTCAGCAGAGAAGTTTAAAATGTAACTGCCAGACAGTTTCAAACCAAAGCAAAAAGCCACTGTAATGAATGCACAATTAACGAGAAAATTGTCGATTGTCTGATTTCTTGCTGATGTGTTTGAAGATTTTAGCTTTGTGGACACTCTTTGGTTTCTGGTAACCAAATCCTCCACCTCCACCTCTTTTCTGTAGCCTTCTGCCTTGGTTGCTGTTCACATCTGGAATTTTATGGGTTAAAGAGCATAACAAAAGTCTTAACTGAAGCATTGCTTATTGGGTACTGCGAGCATTATTAAGAAGAGAAAAAAGTATTACACAAACCACACACAGTTGTGTTATGGGTGGACCTGTCATTCTACTGAACGCTTTTATTCTTCCAGCTGTCCAACTAATTCAACTAAAGAACAACTGCTCCAACTCCTCTCCCTCCACTGGCACCTTTGACCCACGCCCCTCTATTTCAGTACAGACCTCTAGAACATGCATGCAATATTCCAGCACCTACAAGGCTGCAGCATCTGAAGTCCACATCTATATTAAAGCAGATATTTGTAAGCAATTATTAAAACAGGAAAAATTGCCATTTAACATTTTCATTATTTGGACATGCTGCACGTATGTGACTATTAGCAATACTAAATAAAACCCAACAAAGAACACAGAATTTGAAATAGCATACCTACTTCCATAAGTTGCATTTAACATTTTTCAAAGCGGGAATTCAGCTTTGAAACACAGCAGTAAAAGGATACTGAGGTCAACGTATGGA